GGGATGATGATATTTCCGTACTGACCTGTTGTCCTGACTCCCCCTTGCCGCAGCATGTCAGTTGTACCTCGTCAATTTCTAGCTGTGATAGGAGCTGCCGTTTGCGGATGTTGGAACACTGTGTTAGTAGTTGTTTCTTTGTCAATGATGACAATGGTTGTTGGAGCTGCCATAATTCCCATAGTCTCTGCATGTAACCTCTCTCACTGGGGACGCTTGTAAAGTAGCATTTCATCAGTACCAAGTTTTCTGCTCTAGTCCATCTATGTCTTGTTTATGTTCCAGTAGCCAATTTGTCATCAAGTTGCCCTGGTTCCCTAGCAACTATCTATCTATCTATCTATCTATCTATCTATCTATCTATCTATCTATCTATCTATCTATCTATCTATCTATCTATCTATCTATCTATCTATCTATCTATCTATCTATCTATCTATCTATCTATCTATCTATCTATCTATCTATCTATCTATCTATCTGTCTGTCTATCTATCTATCTATCTATCTATCTATCTATCTATCTATCTATCTATCTATCTATCCACCCCCCACCCCCCCACCCCCCCCCCCCCCCCCCCACCCGCCCCGCTCCGCTCCAAGGTGTCTTGGTTTTCCCAAATGAAAATATGGTCACCCTAGATAGATAGATAGATAGATAGATAGATAGATAGATAGATAGATAGATAGATAGATAGATAGATAGATAGATAGATAGATAGATAGATAGATAGATAGATAGATAGATAGATAGATAGATAGATAGATAGATAGATAGATAGATAGATAGATAGATAGATAGATAGATAGATAGATAGATAGATAGATAGATAGATAGATAGATAGATAGATAGATAGATAGATAGATAGATAGATAGATAGATAGATAGATAGATAGATAGATAGATAGATAGATAGATAGATAGATAGATAGATAGAAAGAGCAAAGGGATAGAAAGAGCAAAGGGAAACAGGTAAGCATAATGTCATGGAATAACAGGATTGGATGTAACTCAAAGAAAACAATCAAATGAATGCATCTGTGTTGTCCCCATATGTAAATGCTCTATAGAGGAAGGATCAAGAATCCTTGACATTATGAAACAATAATTAAAAAAATGTTGAGACATTGACTCAGAAGGCACATGTAGAATGGAGGTATACATTTAGCACAGAAATGTTGGGCTATTGTTGGGCTATTCTATAAAAGCCTGGAACTCAACACTAACCCAAACATCTTCATTGAAAAAGCTTCCTGAATGGGAAGTGAAACATCTTCAAACTTGGAAAACAAAGTCCAGTGGTTTGTTGTTTAACTTTCTGGCACGACTATGACCTGGATGTCTGAGAATCTCTACCAGCACACAGAAAATAAAAAGCATCCTAGACGATGACCATAGAAATGTAAAACATCCTTAAAAGAAAAACACAAAAAATTAAGCATTCTTAAAGACAAAATTGATGAGAAACTGCCAGAAGACACATTACACACACTTGTGGAAGATAATAAAATATCCTTAAAAGAAAATTCATGAACATGGAAATGTGAAGTTAGGAATCTGAAGCATTTTCTTGCAAGATATTTAATTGTATTTATTGTCCTTTGGAGGGAGAGGAAGATTGAGCTTTCTCTGACTTCTCTCTCCTAGGAAACTAAACCCACCACTTGCACAAAGATCTCTCTCACACTTCAACATCTGGTTATTCCCAAGAAAAACACTTCATCAAGGACATGAATTTTAGCCACAGCATGAAGGAGGCTTTGTGAACTCATTTGCTCTGTTCGAAAACCTAGGACGCGTCCTTAGAAGGCCAGATTCGAAGGACGATGACGTCATAGCGTGGCGCCGAGGTCTTGTTCGGATTCCAAGAGTCCTCGTTATGCGGCCTTAAAATGTGTCCTTCTTTTTGCCGGATTTGAAGGACGGGTCCGATGTATCCTTGGTTTACCCAGGATTCATTGCGAGACCAAGCAAGCCATGATCAGAGGAAAGGTTACTTGTCGCCGAACAGTGGTGAATATTGGAAGTTCAGTTTAATATAATACAAGTCAGTCTGAAATGAATGAAAATAGTTGCTTTAATGGTTATTGAGTCAGATATGTGGCGGTAATGTTTGATTTATCTAAAGGTTTTTATCTGTTACTGTGTAAATGGGTTTGGCTGTAATTTAAGGACAGATTCTAATATATATGCAGGGTGGGGACTATAAATCTGATTATTTATTCTGATATTATCTGATATTTATTTTTTTGTTGCTGTTTTGCACAATATGCTTAACTAAGTATTTTTGTTGTTGAATATTAGAGATTTTGCAGATATATTTTTTATACATACATTGTTTAGATTTACTTATATAATTCTAACCCTTTTCTAGAATAGAAAATCCCTTTATTGTCCCACAATGGGCAGATTTACAGCAGCAGAAAGATTATTGAAAATGGTCACACAAATGTGGACCTTAGAAAAATGTATAAGAATAACATAATAGGGAAGAGTTAAAATATAAACAATACAATTCTGTTAAGTGTTTTAACAATATAAAACTGGAGAATAAATAACCAATATGCAGCTATGGACATCTTTACAGTAATGGATATTTGAAAATAGCAGCAACATCAGAGATGTGCAGAATGACAGCAGCATTTTATTTAACTGACTAAGGTTTCTATCATTACATTTGACTTTATTTGTTCCTGCTCCCGGTGGTTGGAACCTTTATTCTACTCTGGATTCTTGTGAGTCTTTGTTCACTTTACAATAAAAAAAAAAATAAATAAACAAACAGTTTTGAAAACTTCGGTTTTCATTCTTTCCCTGCTTTGTGTGTCAACTTTCGCGGTTGCTAAGCAACAGAGCATACAGTGGAAAAACCCGCCGAAGGGTAGACCTGTTCGAATTCACAGCCAAAACTGTTCCGGTCTCCTTATTTTCACGGACTTTGAAGGATCCAGGTACACCGCGTCCTTGGAGGATGCAGCCCAGGTTTTCGAACAGAGCCATCATCTCTCGTGACTTTCCCTTCACCCTTGTCTAGAGTAGGGAGGCATCTGCTTTCTGTCCCCCTAAACAGTACAGCATAGTGAATGGTCAGGATTTCTCTATCATTACTCCTATTCAAACAGGAACACTCAAAACATTTTATCTCACAAAATAGGCCAAGGAAAAATATGAATCCACAGAAACATAGCATTTAGTATGGGCTACACCTAAAGTGCAGGAAATTAAAATAAGACCAATGAAAACTCAAAGATAAAACTTAAACAGAACCAAAATATTTGCTAGTTCAATCTCTAACACTCTGCTCTCTCTGCTTTTTCTCATAGTAGCTTCATCTGGTCTGTTCCTGTTTGGCTGTGACTCCATCCTGGAGAGAAATATCAGCTGTGCTGCTGTCATCTACACCTTTTACACTGTTTATCCTCTTAATATCTACCTAATTTCTGGGAAATTTGCCTATTTTGAAAATGGAAAAGCGAATAGCTGAGGATCTGTAAGCCCAAATTACATGTGTGATAAATTATTTGAAAGCTAACACCTTCTAGTTTCTGAACACATACATGAAAATTGGGTAAGTAAACACCCAAGCTGCATCAGTTCAAACATGACTTATTCTCGAAAATAAAAGTCTTTTTGAACAGCAGTAATAAAGACATGCTTGCTTGTTGTGGCTGCTTTGTCATGCTACATTTCCACATGCTGCTATAATTGTGCTTTGGTGCTCGCTATGTCCATAAAATAAACTTGGTGGAGAATCTAAGTTTTCCAACGATGTCTAACATGTCTATATTGGTAAACATATTACCTGTGTAATTTTAATGCATTCTGAGTTATTATTTTAAATGCTTTCAAATGGTTTTGAGATGTTAAAGATGTTGGAGCCTGGTCTGTTTTTCGGTGTAGTCCTGTTTCTCTGACTGTGACTAAATGTATGTGGTCTCCTTCATCCTCTGACATGGGAGCTGGCTCGGGACTGGTTGACATTTTTTATGCCTTTTTTATCTGTACTTCTTTTTCTATGTCTACTTCTGTCTATATGAACCCCAGTCGGCTTTGATAGTTTCACACTGAGCCTGGATCTGCTGGAGTTTTCCTTCCTGTTAAAAGGAAGTTTTCCACCCCACTGTCGCTACAAGCATGCTTAGTGTGAGAGATTGCTTTAAAAATCAATGAAAGCAGTTGGTTGTCATTAGATGACATGTGTTTTGAATTGGTGCTATAGAAATAAACTGAATAGAATTGCTCTACAAAGTCCTCTCAAGTAAGACCATTCCCTCGGAATACTTCACCGACAACAGTCTTAATGGTTTTTGTCAATGGTTTTGTTGATCTGAAGACAATTCCTCATCAGACCTTTCAGGGGAAGGTTTGAAAAGCAAAAATAAATCAGCATCCAACATTTTTTTAAACTCAGTGAAATAAATATGACTTTCACTCTGTAAATAATAGAAATATCCAAACAGAAACTTCATGTGTAGTTACTATTTACTAATCCTGACTATTACAGTTTTTGTTATTTTAAATCTTTTAAAATCTGACTCGATGCACCTAAACTGATATACTAAATGATCTACCAATGAAAACAACAAGTTGATTTAGTGCTGTTATTTGGACAATACCTCTATGTTTTAACATAAAATATTAACAAAGCTGTCTGTCAGCATCCTCCCAACATTCTGCAGAAACATGATGTAGAATATATTGATTTACAGTTTTCAAGATAGATAGATAGATAGATAGATAGATAGATAGATAGATAGATAGATAGATAGATAGATAGATAGATAGATAGATAGATAGATAGATAGATAGATAGATAGATAGATAGATAGATAGATAGATAGATAGATAGATAGATTAAATGCATGGATTGATTGACTAAAATTAATCAACCTAGTGACTCACTGTTCGAAAACAGAATAACGAGAGAATCCTAGGAATCCTTACATCACAATTATTGTCTTGTCCACCAGGTGGCGATAATGTACTCCAACGCTAACTGTCAGAGTTTAAATAAACGAAGAAGAAGCTGCTTCATGTAACTTCCAGTGCGACTTTAGTTCTTTTTATGTTGTGTATTTTTTTACAGGCTGAAGGATGAACAAGTTGAATAAATCCGAGGAATATGACTCATATGAAATTGACGAACCGAGCGACGAGGAGCGAGCTGAGAGCAGGTAAGATACCGATTAGCTTTAAAGCTAGCTCAAAGCTAGCTGGATGCTAACAGGTAAACAAGGTTTCCACATTGGGTTTCTGGCCAAAGCCTGGTTATGTCAGTGTTTAGTTCTGCCTGATAAAACAATAAACGATTAATTTCTACATGTTCTGCCTTGTAATGGAATTGATAATTAATAAAAGTCCTATAGGTTTACTGATGTTTGAGCCTGAGAAAAAGCAGTTATACAATTATTTAATTCCCCTTATAAAGCTGCATTCTAGAACACGTTTTGTTTGTGGGATTTTGATCGAATGAAGAAAAAAGTATTCCTCCAGACTGTCATGGGTTTTTTTTTGTTTTTGTTTTTTATACTTTTTGATTGTTTCCTTATTTGGCAATACATCAAAAGTATATCAGGAAATTTAAAGTGTGAGAGCTCTTGTAGAAATACAATTTTTGCAGATATTCCAATCACATTTGGGTCAAATAGTTCAAGAGCTATTAAAGTTTGAATTTGGAGATGCATTTTTAGGCATTTTCAGCTGGGAACTTTAAGAGATTACGTAAATGAAAAAATAAGTTTTGTAGAAATGTAAATAAGTAGCTGGCATCTTTTTACATCAATATTGAGGGAAGATATTAAAATCAATCTAAGAACAGATAAGGAGCAAAAAAAACAAAAACATCTATGAGTCTTGAAAAGGTTAGATAAGTCATTTTCTATGCATTATGTAAAAGCTGCAACAGTGGAGAACCGACTCGTGTCAGAATAACTTTAAAGGTTATAATCTAACTCTTACCTTTATGACTTAAAAGAAAACAAAGACTCATAACACCGTTACAGTGCATCAAAATATTCAAGATTGTATTTTAAGCGAAGAACATGTGCAAAGGTCAAGATCTGCATGAAGATCAAGGAAAGAAAGAAGTGGCATAAAGCTTCCTATTTCTAAACCTCTGACTTGCTTCCAGCTCAGAGGACGAGCTGGATGTGCTGCTGAACGGGACTGCAGAGCAGAAAAAGAAGCTGATCAGGGAGTATCTGACAGGGGAGAGCGAGTCGTCCAGTGAAGATGAGTTTGAGAAGGAGATGGAGGCAGAACTTAGCTCGACCATCAGGACCATGGAGGGAACCTGGGGACCAGCAGCTGGTAAATCTCACTCTGAACCTGTTTAAAGTCGCTCTGTGACTGGAAATGAACTTCACTAAATGCAGTTTTTATTTAAATGGTTAAATGATGATGGCTCAATAAATGGCAAAACATATGAGTTCATGACTATAGCTAAAGATCAGCACCACAAAAGATTTTCCCTTTGAAATAATTTTATGGTCAAACTCAAATATCATATACAAAAGAAATACAAGACACCAATGTGGGGGGAAAAAACATCCAATTCTCTTAATTCATTGAGCTTTGCCCATTAAAGTGGATACAACCAGCTATTAATGGCAACAAAATTAAATTAATTTGGATGCAGCCAATTTTTTTTGCAGCTCAAAACAATATAAAACAAAACTGCAGGCAAATAATGCAATAAAAAGGAAATAAGTATTATAAAAAAAGTTATAAAAGGACTGTGCAGTTATCTTAAAAAATAAAAATTAAAAAAATGGCCTGTTGTGATTACAGACCTGAATATAAAAACTGGGGGACCAGAAAAAGATTTGGCTGCAGCGCTCATGATGTCCAGACGGCTGCTTCCTCAGTTCTATTCAAATTGAGCTTTTAGAACCAGAGATAACTTTGATTCTGCTGTATGAACCAGAAATAATTTAAACCATAAAAACTTAAGCTGGTGAAGATTCTCAGTCAAGCAGGTCTTAGTCATTCCAAAAAAAGTAAAAAAAAACTTCCAAGATAGGAAATGAAACATCTTAAAACTTGGAAACAGTTCAGTGGATTGTTTTTTAACTTTTTTGGAATCACAAAGACTCAATTTTATTAAGTCGGTAAAGGATCCAAAGTCTTAAATTCTGCATCTATGCCCAGGAAGATATTAAATACCTAAATACCTTTTGCAATATCATAAGGGATGAATGTTTCATTCAGATGAATAATGATGCTTTTCAAGATCGATATCTTTGATAACCTTAGTGTGACGTTACCAAGCTTGATGGAAAGTAGCTTTTAAATGTAGTGTTTTGTTTTGGTCTATAGTCAGTGCTCAACAGCACACCTGGCAGGGCTGATGGAAGCCATTTTGAACATTTTTTTTTTTTTTTTTTTTGGACAAAAGAAAAGACCTACAGTATAAGCCTATTGGCCTATTAAAAAAAAAATAGATTTAGATTCACTACTTTATTGTGATATGCACTTCAGTTCACAAACCCAAGGTCTGTAACACACAGTTATCATTAATCCGTTCTCAGGTGAATAAATGTGCTGTTTTTTAAACTTTACAAAAAAAAGATTTTCAGTAACTTTACGGCAATTTGAAAAGCCGGAATTTTCAAAGGGGTTGTCTTCTTACGTTTTTTTCTTACGGAAGAGGATTAGGGCCAGTGGAAAAAAAAAATTAACTGATTTTTAAATTTTATTTTAGTTTAGTATGGGGAAAAAGTCACCGGCTGGGTTTGCTGGATGGCTGCTTTATGTGGAAGAGACTGATCAGGTTTTGGGTTCTGTTTGTCTTAGTCAGAAAATACGGAAGAGGATTAGGGCCACTGAAAAAAAAAGTTTACTGATTTTAAAATTTTATTTCAATTTAGTATTCTGAGATAAAAGTCAGAATTCTGACTTTTTTCTCAGAATTCTGACATTATTATCAGAATTCTGACTTTTTTCCCAGAATTCTGACTTTTTTCTCAGAATTCTGACTTTTTTCTCAGAATTCTGACTTTTTTCTCAGAATTCTGACTTCTTTCTCAGAATTCTGACATTATTATCAGAATTCTGACTTTTTTCCCAGAATTCTGACTTTTTTCTCAGAATTCTGACATTAATATCAGAATTCTGACTTTTTTCTCAGAATTCTGAGATCAAAGTCAGAATTCTGACTTTTTTTCTCAGAATACTAAATTGAAATAAAATTTTAAAATCAGTAAACTTTTTTTTTTTCAGTCGCCCTAATCCTCTTCCGTATTTTCTGACTATAACAAACAGAACCCAAAACCTGATCAGTATCTTCCACATAAAGCAGCCGCTGCCATCCAGCAAACCCAGCCGGTGCCACAGAACGCGAGAACGTTTCGTTACCGCAAAATGTGCAGGAAATTTGAAACTAGATGTTGGCTGGAAGGGCTTGTCTAATCCATTCACGCTAGGTTGGGTTGTTGGTGCTGGGACTGGGTGTGCCATTGCAACTGCCACCAGAGGTGCATGGACAGTCTCCTCACTCCGGCTGCTCTCCGTTGTCGTGGTTGCGGTACTATTGCTCTTCTTCACTGGTGGTGGTTTTCCAAAAACATCAAGCTGTAAAACGAGTTTGTAAAGTAATCATGTTTCCCAGCAAACAATGAAAATGTAACGTGCCAAATGTTTGCAGCTTTGGTATCAAACTTTGACCAAGTGATGAACTGGTATCCCTCTCATCTACGGGAGCCCAAGGAGTGGAACAAAAAAAAACAGATTTTATCTTCATGAGCCAAAAAATTCCAATATTGATAAAACCGATTACTCTCCCTGATTCGTCATCATCCTGGTCATCTGCCAGAGTTGATTATTATTAAAGGGAAAGTTACACACAGGCTTCACTCACAACTGCAAATAAATCCAATATAGTCCAGCTCAGGTCTGCGTTCTTTTGACTTCTAGTTACTAACCCCCAGATTCCACATCCTCCGTCATCGCTTCGCCCCGCTCCGCTCACGTACGTCGTGCAGAGTACTTGTCTGTCATGTAAATCAATGAGAGGTGTTCCACATCCTCCACTTGTCACCGTCCACGTACGTCTTCTCCGTCCTTTATCGTCAAAATACGGAGCAGAGCTACTTTTTGCTCCGGCCAGGTCAAGATCCACTATTGCAATCTCACCAAACAGGAAAAAGAACATTGAGAAGGTCCGGTTTGTTAAATTAAAATATAGTAACAATGGATTGGTAACTACAAATTAGAGCATAATTCTTATATATTCCCTAAAACTAAGACCGTTTATTTAATTGATTGGATGCAAACTATTGGTACTTCAACATACCAGGAAACATATTTCTCATTTCGATCAAAATGTTTTAGGGATGCACGATATAATCGGCCCCCTATCGGTATCGGCCTTAAAACTGAATATCGGACATTGGCCCCCCCACCGATATTTAACCCGATGTTTGATCAGCTTCTGAGTTTCTAAAGTCTAAAAAAAAAAATACTACTTCTTCTTCCTCAAAAACTTCTTTTTTACAGACTTAAAAACTTCTAAAGACGAGGGAAAAAATATTGATCCATTAAAATATCACAATATCTTCATATGCTGATATATTGCCATTTAAAAACACCATATCATTCTCTTTTACTAATGAAATATTGCTATATGTCATCGTTATGCTACGAAATCCCCCGAAAATTCACAGAATTTTGCCATTTTTTTATATGTTGATATATTGACGCGGTATCGATCTATTTTACTAACAAAATCTCACAAGAATTTGCAAAATATCACGAGAGTTTGTAACAGAACGATGAAATTTCACGAGATTTTGAAAGTAAAATAGATCGATACCGCGTTTTTAAAAATCTATTTGATATCAGCATATGAAAATATATTTGAGTATATTATTTTTCAAAGTGTCAGAAATGGATAATAAAACTGCTATTTTCAATGACTGCTTATTTTTGTCCAGCTTTAACATCGGTATCGATATCGGTTATCGGCTACATGAGTTTTAAAATATCGGCATATCGGATATCGGCCAAAATCCCAATATCGTGCATCCCTAAAATGTTTATTTAGGCTTAAAATTGTAATCAAATCCAGTCAAAACTTCCAAGAGTGCATCTCACTACCTCAAAAGAAACTTGGATGAAGAGATGCTGCGTTTGGAAGGAGAGAACAAACTTAGTTCATATAAACCAATGTTGAATGATTCTAGTTATCCCTTTTTTTAAAAATCTACAACAAAAAGAAAATATTTGGGCAGAAACTGCACATGTGCTGGATGCTGGTGGGGATTTTTTTTTTATATGTAATTAAATTAAGCATTAATTTCCGCATGCTTTGCTTCTACGCGCTATATAATAATAATATCGCTCATGCTTTCCTCGAGCTCCATGGAAGTCAGAGCGGAGTAAGAGGGGAGGAACAGCGGAGGCTGTAGGCTTTTCTTTGCGCTGGCGGTCTGGAGCGTGGTGGGGTGGATACTAGGGATGGGACGGTTTATGAAAACCGTCCGAACTGTTTGGTTCGACTGTCTCGGTTTGATTCGCGTGTGTTTCGTTCGGTTCGCGCGCTGCTCCTTTTTCTCATAGGCGAAGCGTTTACACTCCAGAGCAGAAGGTGGCGGTACTGCGACCAAAGCCAACCACCAGTAGTAAACAAGAAGAAGAAGAAGCGAAGCAGCGTAGCCGGGTGTAGCAGAAAAAAACCAGTTGTTGTGAAGAATTGTGTGGGTATGGCGAGTGGGAAAGAACAGGAGTTGGGAGACGCGCCAGCAGCACTTTATAGGTCTGCTGTATGGGACCACTTTGCATTTAGAGTGACCTACGATGACGGCGGAAAGAAAGCTGTGGATAAAAGTGCAACAGTGTGCAAGCATTGTGCAACACGTTTTGTTTATGCTAACAGCAACATGACCAACATGTCATGCTAACCCCGAAATCCCACATACTCCGTCAGCGCTGCGCTCCAGACCGCCTGCACAAAGCAAAGCCTACAGCCTCCACTGTGGCTCCCGTCCGCTCCGCTCTGAGTTCCTTGGAGATGGTAGAGAGCATGCGCGAGATGATTAAATTCAAAGCAGCAAAACATGCGGAAATGATCCAGGGTTTCCGCGGATCATTAAAAATAATTTCAATTCATTAATTTTTTATTTTTTTTCATTAATTTCATAAAGTTTTATGGGATTTCGGTGTAACAATAAACGTATACGGAACCGAACCGAAAACCGTGACCACGAAACTGTGAACCGAACCGTGGATTTTGTGAAGCGTTCCACCCCTAGTGGATACGGAGGATGTGGGATTTCGCGGTAACTGTTTGCATTTCCTTAGTCTGACTCTCCTTTCTATTAAACGGATGTTTGTTCTGTTACAGTTCCCACAGGTGGAGGAGGAGCTGCAGGTAACGATGGAGGTTCTGGCAGTTCCAACCCTCAGATGTATGACCAGATTTACTTTGATTCTGACTCAGAGGAGGAGGACAAACCAAGTAAGACGTCCTTCTGAATGATTAATTTGTTTATTCTTACAACATGTTACGACCTTAAACTAGAGATCAGCCCATACCCTGCAGAAACTTTAAATCTAAGTCAATTATTCTTAAATTAGGTGCATTTTTTCTTGAATTGTGGAGGTAAGTAAAAAATAAAATGCCAATGAAATAAAACTATTTACATTTAAAGTACGTTTTCAGTCTCTTATTTCAAGTGCATATTATCTTATCTCATTCTGTTGGCAAATCATCTTATTTACCAGCTGAAATTAAGGATAAATACACTTCATTTAAGAAATATTGACTTATTTCTGGATCGTTTTAGCAGTGTGCAGGCTCTCTCAGGCCTATAATGATTTTTTTTGTCCAACCGACCCCTGATAGTTGCTGCTGAAGTCTCAATTTAAACAAAAAGAAATCTTTATGAATAATCAAACATTAACAATAGATAACAAATGGAGTGAGCTATAGAAATTGTTGAATTGTGTTCAGTGATTATAAACATGTGTCACAGGCAGCTCCACAGACCAGAGGCGCAGGCGGCGGATCATCCCCACTAATGATGAGCTGCTGTACGACCCAGATGCAGATGACAGAGACCAGGCCTGGGTGGATTCCAGGAGGTTAGAAATATTGCCGGTCTTTTTGGATTTAAAGAAAATGTAAAACCGTGGTTTTAAAGTGCAGGGGACCAAAAAAGATGTTTAAAAATGTGCAGGGGACATCTGCTCCCTCCCTCCCTCGTAAAAAATTACGTCAATGGACCCACTTAGAGCAGCAATTATACCAAAACCTCAAAATTTGCATTGAAGATGAAAATATTTTCTTCTTTCATCTGCTCTATCCTACGATGGAGCATTAGGGCCAGGATAGTGATTTTTAATAAATATTTTTTTAAATAAATTTGTAATATTACGAGATTAAAGTCGTGACATTATGAGACTTCAGATGTAATATTAAGAAAATAAAGTCGTGATATTATGAGATGAAGTTGAAAAATAGCGAGAATGAACTCATCATACAACAACACGTTTCAGAAAGAAAACTTGGAGCTCCGCCCATCAGATGACGGCCGACCAGCTCCACCAAGCAACCAGAGTCCACTTTGACGTCCTGCCCAGTTTGATGCTGGAGCTAAAAGATTTCCTTAATTGTCAAACTGATGCCAAAGTATAACTTCACATAACGCTCCATATTCCTCAGTTTAGGGAAGAAAGGGCTTCTAGTAAGAGTTGTTATAAAATACAACTTTATTCTTTTAATATTATGACTTCATTCTCATAATTATATGACTTTATTCTCGATTAATCGAAGATTCGTGGATTAGTTGCAGCCCTATGTTGTATGTTTGTTCCCTTCTCCTTCTGATTCAACCTTTTATCTCCTGTGAAGGTATAAAAGCAGGAAGCAGCAGGACTCTGCATCCCGTTCTCGGCCTCGCCAGTCTAAGCCGTTACCCAGCAGTGATGCTGTGCTCAACTGTCCTGCTTGCATGACAACGCTCTGCCTGGACTGTCAGAGGTGATGAACAGCGGCGTTTTTATTAGTCGTCTGCTCCATCAAAATAGGATTTCCAAAACGAATACATCAAAAAATGATAAACTACAGTCATATGAAAAAGTTCGGGCACCCCTATTTATCTTAATCATTTTTATTTCTAAATATGTTGGTGCTTCAAACAGCTATTTCAGTTTGATATATCTATTAACTGACGGACAATAATATTTGAGTATCAGAAAATGTGCAATATGCGTTAAAACAAAATTTTACAGGTGCAAAAATATGGTCACTTCCTCTAGTCACTTCCTGTAGCTTTTAATCAACAAATCCAATCATCCAGGAACTCATTAAAAGCTACAGGAAGCAACTAAAGGCTGTTGTTTTTGCAAAAGGAGGATCTAGTAAATATTAATGTCTCTTTTTTGCTGAGGTGCCCATATTTTTGCACCTGTAAAATTTTGTTTTAATGCATATTGCACATTTTCTGTTAGTCTAATAAATCTCAATTCATTACTAAGATATTACTGTGTCCATCAGTTATTAGATATATCAAACTGAAATAGCTGTTGCACACACCTAAACATTTAGAAATTAAAATAATTAAGAGTAATTAGGGTCCCCAAACTTTTTCATATGACTGTATCTTTCTTACAATACTGCTAAACATGTGCTACGATTTGTCCATAAGCTCAATATTACGTCATTTAAGCCTTCTGTGTGGGACAGAAGGGTTTAAGCTTCCTAAGATCACTAATGCTTAAACAACTTGTGTCCGTTTAGGCATGAAAAGTACCGCACACAGTACCGAGCCATGTTCGTGATGAACTGCGTCGTGAAGACGGATGAGGTGCTGCGCTACAAAACACAGCAGGACAAAAACTCGAGGAAGAGGAGGAGGGGCCAAAAAGCACTGTTGTCATCAAACAGGGCTACCGGCCCAACGCCAGCCGGGATGGAGCCGGAGGAGATTTATCACCCGGTGAAATGTACCGAGTGTTCGACGGAGGTGGCCGTGTTTGACAAAGACGAGGTGTACCATTTTTTCAACATACTGGCCAGCCACTGCTGAGGTTGACTGAACTCTTCTGTGTTCCTCGTGTGAACCTTAATCTGTTTCACCTGTTTTTTTTATATTTACATAGCTGGTAATAAATCCAGTCTACTGTACTGGCATCATGTGTAAATAAACAATGGTTTTCATAGGGGTTTACTGGATTCTGTTGCACTGCCAAATGTACCACTTTACTGGAACCAAATGATCATATTTTTAATATAATTTTTCTTAAAAAGATAAAATTATAGATTTAAAGAAGCTTCAGGGTTTTTTCTGCATTCTTTAGCACAGCTCAAAATAATCAGGGTTCCCGCGGGTCCTTAAAAAGTCTTAAAAGGCATTGAATTCTACAAAATAAATCTAAGGCCTTAATTGGTATTAAAATGTCTTAAATCAGTCTTTCGTAGGTCTTATTTTTTAAAACATCATAAATAGGATTCTGTTTATTACGATTTATTTTTGTAATCTAAATAAAACATTAAAATTGAAAACATTTTTTTATTATTTATTCGCCATTATTGGTTCCATCCCGATAGCGGAACCAATAAAAGCGTTGTTGCGGCCGGGACATTTGGGAGATGCACCATTAACTTTTTGTCTGGAAAATATGAGCAAGTGTAAATGTAACCAAAACTGTCTATCCAGCCAAGAGTTTTCTCCATGACTAAAACCAGGGAACATACATGAAGCTCAGTGGATTTAGTGCAAGAAGTCATTCAAGCTCAGAACGATGGGAATTAAGGCAGTGGAGTCGCACATGCGAAGCACGAAACACAAAGTGTCAAAATGGATTTACTGAGAAACAGCCGGTATTTCTCAGTTTAGTTCCACCCTTGTCTCTGCAACGCCTCCACTTTTCACCAAATCAAACATACTAAGAAAACGATACAAAGAAAAATAGCTGCAAAAAAGACTTAGTACTGGTTATGTTGGGGCTTTAAAACTGATTTGTTTTGTTCCCTGCTAAAACAAAGTTTGTGAATTCAGTTAAATAATTGTTAAAATATATCTTTCATGTGTTTGTTTTTAGCTTTCTTCCTGTATGGGAAGTTTTTCAAAATTTAAAACATTAGTGCAGTGGTTTATGTTAAAATAAACCTTTGGGTTAAGTTGTCGCAAGCAGGTTTTTCTTGTGTTTCTTGTGAATTTGGTCTTAAATTTTTATTTCAAGTGGCATTAAAAAGTCTTAAAAAGTCTTGAATTTAACTTGCTTTATGCTGTAGGAACCCTGATAATTATCCAGTGGTATTATTGTTCCCACTATTACATTTTTCTTATTTTAACCAACCATCACCTGACACCCGGCCATAAAGTCGTGTTTGTAATGGATTACCTATAAACTGAAATGTTTACCAGACTGAAAGATTCAGGCTGATCGAGTTTGAATATAGTTTATATCGGCTAGCTATCTCAGCAGCTGGCTAAAGTGGTAAGTCACCTGTCCTGCAGACAGGAAGCCTGGGGGGAATGAGCTGCCACTGTGGGTCCTTAGGCAAGACCCTTAGGGAGACCCAGGACACACTGGAGGGACTATATTTCCCAGCTGGCCTGGGAACGCCATGGATTCCCCCGGAGGAGCTGGCCTAAGTGGCCAGGGAGAGGGACTGTTGGGCCCTGCTGAAGCTGCTACCCGCACGGCCTGACCCTGGATCAGTTGGGTACCCAACAACCAATAATTGTACATTTGAACTTTAAATTGATATACAGCTGAAAGAAAAATGTGCAGCTTTATTTTACGTGTGATTCTACTTCCTTTTATCTTATAAATCCATAATCTCAAATTTGCTGCATTTTCAGCCTAACAAATTTTTTAAAATGTCTGGGATTTTGTTGATTCCCTGAACAACAGTTTGCACACGCACACGATAAAATTATATTTAGGAAAAAGTGCTTATCAATAAGGAGTAAATCTACATTTCACAAATAATTTCCCTCTGCCATTAAAAACTCATTCATCTGTCATGCAGTCAGATTCCATTAATAATAACGGAAACGTGGCTCTTTAATTGCTCTGGTTCAAAAGTAAGATCTATTACCTGACTTATTTTCTTCCTAATATAACTAAAAATGCTGGGCCTTATTTTTCAGTAGTGTTAATGTTTTTTATCGTGTTTGGGAGTTTTCTCTATAGAACAGCTGAGCAAACGTTTGGATCTAATTACAGTCCTGTGATACTGAGTCTGTTTATCTTCCAAAAGCCTGTACATCTGACTCTAAAGTAGTAAGACATTAGAAAATGAGAAATAAGATCAATAAATGTAAAAAAAAAAAAAAAAAAAGTAAATATCTGTGAATCCACAATGAAGTCAGTTCATATGACGGAGTATTAGACCCAGGCTTAGAGATTTTTTTTCTTTATTTCAAGAATAAAGGAATAAAATTACGAGAATAAAGGAACATTATGAAAACAAAGTAACTTTACGAGAATAAATTCATAAAATGACAAGCAGGGGTGGATTTAAGAAATGTGGGGCCCTAGGCAAAGACAGGCAGGGGGCCCTCTGATTGAGAAGACAACACATAAAACAGACCCATTCTACAGATAAAGAAATGTTAATAGAATAGACATCCATTATTTGTTCTAGGTTTTGTCCCTCTTTTCTTGTCCCTTTTCTTGTTGTTTTCCTCTCTATGTTTTGTACTCAGCTGACTTTTCATGCTGTCTCTAAAGGAATGAAAGATTTTTTCCAAGCACTAAGCTCACTTAGCTGATTGCTCCTTCCTGTGTTTCCAAAAAGGCAAAAGTAAATAACCCAGTCCTTCTTTTCACTGTAGACAAGCCATGATCTGCTTCTCTGTTCTCCATTTTTCATTTGGATGAAATAATGGCTGCATGAATCATGACAGCAGACAAGATAGAGGAGAGCAGGAGGCGGGGTTACCAATCTACTTGCTCTGGAGAACAGAGTTCGCTGCTTTTAGATGTTGTCTCCAAAATCTCCAGAAGCAGAAAAAAGTCGCTAATTTGGCGCTAGGCGCTTTTTTGAAATCAAACTGCTAGAGGGGTCTGAAAAGTCGCTAAATAAAAGTTGGCAACACTGCTCTTCACATCGTTTGTTTTCAAATGGTTTGCTGCTGTCTGTTTGGATCTTTCTGAACATGTGCAGCAAATTGACTGATCCAATATGGTGGACACTGACGGGGGAGAAAAGACTGAGAAGAAAGTCCTAATATTAGAAGAATAAAGTTTTATTTTATGACAACTCTTACAAGAAGCACTTTCTTCCCTAAAATGAGGAACGTAGAGCATCACGTGAAGTTCTGCTTTGGCATCTTTTTGACAAATAGGGAAATGTTTTAGCAAATCAGAATCAAATTGGGCAGGATGTAAAAGTGGAGTTCAAAGCTTTCCTTCTGAAGCGGGGAGTGCTTTATTTTTTAACATTATTCTCATAATATTATGACTTTATTCTTGTAACGTTACGACGTTATTATCGTTAATTAGAACTTTATTCTCGAAATAAAATAAATAAATAAATAAAAACTGTCTACCCTGCCCTATACTCCATCGTAAGTTCAGGAACTGAGCTGTGATTGGTTGAAAATGAGCCCCTCAGGAAACGTTCCAGGAAGCTAGCTGCTCTGGGAAACGCCGGAAGAAGAATCAACGAACCGAACAGCTAAGTTTGGTGTTTGGAAGTTGGATCATGGCGCTTGGAGACTGTTGGAAGCAGCTGTCCTGGTTTTACTACCAGTACCTCCTGGTGACAGCCCTGTATATGCTGGAGCCGTGGGAGAGGACCGTGTTCAGTATCCTTTTCTATGTCGCCATGACTCAAAGCTGTTGCTAATGGAAGCTAACCTTAGCTTTAAGCTAATGGTCATATAGTTTAACACAAATATAGCTCAATTGTGTTGATTTACTTTCGTGTCCGGTGGAAATCTTAACCTACGTGGGTCTGTGGTTATGAAGAACAGAACTTTGCTTCATTTTACAGTTTATACCTCTTATCCAAAAGTTTTATTACACGTAGTTCCTCAAAATGAGGAGATTTTATGACATATCTGTCGGTTAATGTTTAAAAATTGAAACCGGTGATATTTTACATTCGTTTAAGATTAAACAGACCAGTCTAAACAAAACTGACAGATGTTGAATTATAAAGGAGACTGAGTAAATGTGATTAAAGCTCTGACTGATTTTTCTGATGTTTAAGATTTGAAAGAAATTTTGATCATTGCGTCACTTCTGCGTTTTCACCAATCCTAAAAAAGTTCGTTTTCAATCATAAATCATAAGTTTTACGCTTCGCCACATGTTTATTCGGGTCCTTTTTCTTATGAACCCATTTAGAAAAACATTTAGCTGAAGCAACCAAATCTAGGTCAGGCTTTAGCAGATGAGCTAACGTTTAACAGGAACTTGGAGGAAAAGTCCCTTCATATTCAGAATTCAAACTTCTGAAAGTACTTTAAATCTGAAATTATTCCATATTGTTCAATAAATAAGTAGTTTTGATTCAGTGTAACTTTCTTTTGAATTTGCTTTTCTGGAGACATCCATGTTTGGCAAAGAACACTACTGCCACCCAAGGGTGTAACTTTGTGATGAAAGTTATACTCTGATATTTATATTTATAAATAGAGAGATGCCTTTTAGTGCATTATATATATATATATATATATATATATATATATATATATATATATCCCAGTAAATCTTTTTCGCCTCTAAATCCACAGCTCTCCCTGCTTCTCTCTGTTTAAAAAGATTTATGAATCTCTTTACTAATATAATGATGCCAGGAAAAAAAAAAAGTCAAATATAGAAGCTCTGAAGTCTGATTCTATCTGTATAATAAGAAAAGGTTTGAATTTTAACCTGTAACTGGTCCTGGTTAAAATTCCTGGTCCTGGTCCTCGGTGAAGCCAAGCTTTTTTTTAACTAGTAAAGAAGAAAAAAACTGTTTTCTCAAGCTTCTTGCATTATAATGCTAACTTGTATAAACTTACAATCTGTTGCCATTTTTAGCTAAAACAGCTCCGTATGTCTAATGAACAGATTTTTCAGTGGCATCTCCAATTTTTTTTAACCAACCCGTCTCCTAACTTTTAAACATTGAAGTAGCTGCTAGTTAATATTCACTGAGTGCTGCTGTGTGTCTCTCCTCCAGACGTAGCTACTTTGTACACATTGAAATGCGACCGCAAATTGGATGTCTCAAAGCGATAGATCCGATGATGTAACACCAAGAGGAGGGACACGGGATCAGCGGGAGAGAGGGAAAAAAAACACTGACTCAGAATGCTCTGAACACAGTTAGCTGCACCCAACCTCTGTTACCTTTGGCCAAAGTAAATGAGTGGAAAGGGGTAAAAAAAAGCGGAAATTATTGGTGGGGACTGTCCCCACCAGGCCATGGTGGTGGTGATATGTCCACACCAGTCCTTTAGAAAGCTTCGCCTGTGCTGCCACCTACCTTTTTGTGACGCCACGGTGCGGTATCGGCTGTTGATCAAGTCCCAGTGCTGTGTCTGGTGTTTGTCACAAAGCGCCAAGTCATCCATCCAAGTCATCTTGAAAACATTCTTCTTCCAAATGTTGGCTACATATTACACATTTTTTCTCTGGCCGGAAGTTCAATGGCAAATCCTCCCTATTCAAGTTGGCAATCCAACGACGAACCCGTCCGTGGAGGATCAGGAATCCGAAAGGTGAAATAACTCTCTTTATTTTTCACTTTTACCCGATGTATTCCAACATCCAACTGCCATGGGCATTGTCAGTTTCACTATAGCTCTGGTGAATTTCAATGGTGAAGTCCTCTGGAAATCTTCAATAATTGTTGTTGATTGCAGATGTGTCTGGTAGTTCCCATTGATTTTGCTTGTAAAGTGGGGAGAATGGCGCTAGCCTCGTGAGACCATCCTGATCTCGCGAGCTTTCAATGTTTCACTCGCAGATCAGTCTGGAGACTCTCCGTCAAAGAACATTTGGAGCCGTTCACCAAACGAACGTCCAATCAGCGTTGGCTTTGAGGCGGGTTGAGGTGTGACGCAACGAGAAGCGCGACAGTTCAGTCTAAGGAACATGGCCGCTTCAGCCGATGAAACTAGCGTTAGCGTGGCTATCGAGCAAGTTTTGTCGGAATTACAGAGTATTTCTTCACTTCTCAGAGGAAAAGATGTTTTTGCTCTTCTCCCGACTGGTTTCGGCAACAGCAGCAAGAGTAGCCTGGCTTGTGGTTGTGTTTTTCGTTGTCGCTCTGTTAGTACGTCATATGCTGTTAGTACGTCATATGCGGAGCAAATCCATCTGGCGGAGTCAGGTTAGAATGGCGCTAGGCGTACCGCACCGTGACATTACTGCTGGAAGATTGCAGGAGGGAGGGGTAACTATATTTGGGCAAAAATGGGCGCAATAATTTTACGAAAATTATAGTTTTTTTTTTTTTACTGATTAACGCTTAATTAATTAAATTACCGCAAACGTATTAGTTTTAGGTATAAATAATGATCCATTGATTATTCCTTGCTGAATGGACTTTTGCTTTAAATGACAGCGAGATTAAAACAATTCAAGTAAAATATTCACAAAACAAGGACGTTTTTTGCTGTTCTTTCTAAGCAAATACAGAAACAATGTTAGTATCATGTAATGATATATTGTTATCCTTTAATTATAAACCATTATGCTTAACATTTTACAGAGTAATTCAACTTTTAAATGCAGCTACATTTAAAGGAATATTATATTTTTATTTATGGATTATTGTTTATTGAAGCAGCAGGGCTGAGATTTGGGGTTACACCGATTTAAAAAAAAAAAACAACTTCCCAGACTCTTTCTGCTATCACCTGACAGCTTATGGAGAATAATCTGCTGTCATTGGGTTTAATCTTAATGCGGACGGATATCAAGAGGGAATTCGAAAAAAGCAGTTGCAATCTCCACTTTTAGGGTCCAGTTGTTTTACAATAAAGGTGTGTTCATGGTGAATGTGGCAACCGCAGAGAATGGTTTCCATGTTATCCCCGTGGAACGTTATATTAAGGCATGGCTACGCGGCCTGCGGTACAACGTTTGTGATCTAAGGACGTATTTGGTTATCGGAGTGAAGCTGCAAGGCAGTTATAGGGGCGATGGATGCATGGTGAGAGGAGAGCGAAGTTTTACAGAAAAGGAAAAATCAGAAGTTCTTTGTTCGTTTTAGCTAAACCTGTAGGGGACTGGATGTTGTTGTGATGTAAGAAGCAGATTGGAGGCAAAACTCATTCATTCAAAAACTCACCGCAGGATGATCTGTCTTCCTGCAGCAGCAGAGCCACTCCTGACTAGGTTCTGGATAGAGGGCAGTACTGCTGGAGGTGATGGTCCAGCCACAGCCCCTGGAGCAGCTGGTGGAGCCGACTGAAAACTGATCTGACTGTACGGCCGGTTTAAATTGTCTCTGTGAATTGCCTTGAGGTGATGCATTGTGAATTTGAGCTATATTAATAAATTGAAACCAAAGTCAGAGCATATTTGTGCATCCAGGGAAGCCAGTGTTCTGTCAGATGAGCATACCCTGTCAGACCAGCATGCCATTAGTCAATATGCATGTGCAAGACCTCCGATTTGTGTTTATCCCTTTAATTTTGTATGAAAAGACTACCTCAACGGGCATGTATCCCTTTAATCATGTACAAAAACAATTTAAGGTCAGGTTGCCATACAGTTGAAAATCACCAAAAAGTGAGTAATTAAATTGATTTTTTGTACATGGCTAAAGGGATATATGCCCGTTGGGGATAAACGGGTTTTGACTATGGGTATGCTGGTCTGACGAGGTATGCTGATCTGACAGAACACCGGCTGGAAGCAGCAAGCAGAAAGAACCTCTTTCTGTTTTATTACACCGTGAAGCAAACTTGCTCTGTTGCCGTGTATGGCAAGCTGTCCAAGATATGATCTCAAGACCAGATGCTCATTACTGATGCCTGCGAGATAATTTTGTCTAGTCAAAACTCAATTGAAATTCAGAATGACTTTCAAGTTATCCATTAATGTTATCCAGATGGAGAAATTAACTGCTTAAATCTTAAACGTATTGCCATAACCAGTGATTGTATGTAACAGGCAGCTAGAAATGTCAAGAGACCTCCCCAAGACAACCTGGCTGAACATTTGACTCATTAGAGTTCAGTGGGAACGTACCTGGAGATGTCAGTACTCCCCCAGCAGATGGGGGACACCTCTCCCCTTGCTGGCAGCAGGTGACGAGTTGCTAATGTGTACGGTAAAATTCATTACTGTTTATTTATATAGTGCTAATTTTAAAAACATCTCATCTTGAGGAATTTTACAGAAACAACCAGATTATCCAGTCAGACTGGTTTAAAGTTTTCTATCTATCTATCTTTCTATCTTGTGCATCCTCATGTACTTGTGAAACGTCGTCAGCCCTAGTACTGTTCGAATTCACAAGAACGCAAGACCGAGAATCAACAAAGTCCCCAAATGTTGTTTTCACCCCTCCCTTTTTACCCAGCATGCATGAGCAGACTTGTCCATTCTTGAGATTGACAGCTGTCCCACGGCAACCAGCAGACCTCCGAGGCTAACCACAGCCAGGGCTAATGTTAGCCCGTAAGTAGCAGCCCTCTCTCGGTATACCTGTGTGTGAAGTACCACTGGCTCTGATGGTGATTTTTTTATTTTTTTTTTTGGTTTTATTTGGCAAAATGTTCATTTGATTTTTTTATTTATCTGGCTCTGTTAATTATTATTCCCCCACTAAATGAAGAAAGTAAGAATGTAATATTGTCTAGAGACTCTTAATAACAGGAGGTGAAATGCAGCTCCAGACGAGCTGAGCGTGTGGTGACGTCACGAGTATACTTGTGTTCCAGTTCACCCATATTTATACTCCCGTTCTCCCAGAGTCCACACTTTCCTGTGTTCTCCTTAAGAACAAACTTGGCCAGGACACAAGTCCGTATTCGCGTTCTTGTGAATTGAGATACAGCCATTGACTTTGCCGGACACGCACTGTATTCACTATATGCAACAATTTGCATTTTGTCGTTGACTCTATAGAAATCCCTCACACCAAGCACGCATGCAGCGACAGTAGAGAGGAGAAACTCTGCTTTTTAGCAAGAAACCTCCCTCAGAACCAAGCCCAGTGTGAGCGGCCATCCGCCCAGGTCGACTCTGGGTCAAGGAGATGCTTAGAAAAGTTCTACAGGCGTGCTGAATGCCCAGGATGTAGTGTTATTCCCTACTGTGACCATCACTAATATTGCAGCCAGCGTAATCTGCTTTTTTTAGCCATGCTTTGTTTACTGTAGCACTACGTCATTCTTTAGTGCATAGGGCAGTGTGATTTTACATGAACAGGTACAATGGCTTTAAATTAACTGCATTTTAATTGCAAATTACGTAAAACAATTTTCATATTTCAGTGGCACCCAGTTTGAAATGAGTTGGATGTTGACTTTTTCAATCCAGCCCTCTAGGTGGTGATAATGTCACAAAGAAGTAAGACAGAAGTGAGCAGTTTTCCACACAATTGTAACTTAAGTCCTGCAATAATGACCTCTGGACAAGCAAGTTTTCAAGGTCATGGAAACAGTGAAACCCTCAAGTAAAACAACTGAATTCTAGTGGAGGAAGAAAATCTTTTATAGTTTTGGTTTAAAAAAAAAGAAAGATGATTTTTGGCAAAATCGTTGAGCTCCAATAGTATGTCTGGAATTCTGTCAGTAGTGATAAAAGTCAGGAGAGTCTAGCTGCATTCCTGCGCTCTGAGGTATCCTGCACCATCAGAACTGGACATTTATATGAAGTCTTTCAAAGTATTTTTTATCAATCTATTTCCCCCAGCTGATTACTGACAGTTTCAGATGTTACCGATTACAGCAGGAGGTGGTGAAGCTGCCGCACATGGACGTCATCTGCATAAACAATGCAGAAACAGGTAAAAACGTGTTGTTTCAAGAAAGTTATGTGACCGATACAGGAGTTGTTTCTAACTGACTGACTCACTAAGTTGTGTTTAAAAGCGTATCTGTCAACATGATGCGTCTGCTAAAAAAAATGTCTCATCTTTTGTGGTTTATCATTAAAATGATCAAGAATTTTGCTTAAAATGAATAGGAACGTTTTAGCCGTTGGGTTTTTATTTTAATTTTCTTGTTGTCTCATCCTTTTCCTCTCAGTTATAACTCAACTTATCTGAATTAAATTAAATTTCAAATTAACTCTTATTTTATTTACCGTTTTACTGTATAGTTTTAAAAATATGATTTAAAATCCTAGTCCACAAGCATCCTCATTAACATTTTCTCCTAAATTTTCGCATAATATGTTTACATTATTTAGTTCTAAAAATATCAAATGTATTTTCAATTTAAACTTAGATATGAAATAATACAATATAAACTACAATAACTTGAATGATATCATTGTACTGGTCATCAAATAAGTTCAGTTCCTGTAGTGTCTTTAAATGTCCAGCAGGTGTCAGTATTTTGTGAGACAGTATCAACGCAGCATCAATACAGTTGTATCTTAGAGATGCCTCATTACTAATAAGATGATATGGAATGAGTATTTTTACTCTTAAAATAAGAGCATCAGATAATATCCACTTGAAATAAGACAATGCAATTGTTCTTTTTCTTATTCTAAATGTAAATAATTTTGTTCCATGGGCAAAGTCTCACTTACCTGCTAAATTCAAGAAGAAAAAAAAAGACTTATTTTAAGAAAAAAAGATTTCTATTTTTTTCCAGCATGTTTGTTTGTCTTTCCAAAACTAAAGTAATCATGTTTTGGTTCCTTACAGCCTAATAGTGTTTTCACATTTCGAAGTTCTTCCTTAATTTTCCCTTTCAGATTCCCTGCTGATCTCTGTGGCTGCCATGGCCGTCTACACCGGCTACGTTTTCATGCCGCAACACATCATGGCTATTCTCCACTACTTTGAAGTGGTCCAGTGACCCGGTTCCTCCTGATGCCCGCCGGCTCAGCCCGTCCCCTCCGCCTGCTGTCCATCCATCTAAAAGTCTCTTCTCACCCCATTTCAAACCAAACTGGAATGCTGTGCTGGAGGCTGTTTAGGAAAAACCCTTCGACGCTGAAACTGTCCTTCCCCTCTCTGGGAGCTGACGTTTTACTGGGAGGTAAAGAGCTGTTTCAGAAGGTGTTCACTTTGTTCATGGACTGAGCTTTCTTTGGTTTCTATTCACATCAAAATGTTGTTGTGTAGTTTAAGCACTGGACAATAAATGAAATACTAGATGTTTAACTGGATCCGTGTAACACTGTTGGAGCAGAGTCAGGTCTCTGAAGGGGCTTCATCTAAGGTGGCTCCTTCCATCGGTTTTCATCTGTCAGGAAGCTGAAGCGTTCCACTAACTTTGAAATAAAAACACAGCATCATTCCACAAAAAACAGTCATTGTGTGTTGCAAAAGCTCTGAGAGGTTTTGATCTTTAAAGGTAAAGTTTTGTTTTTTCCTTTTACAAAGTAGGATGCTGCAGTCATAATTGCCCAGTTGACTTTATTTCAGCAGTTCTTAATCTCTTTTTCTTTTCTTTTTTTTTAATTTTTTTTTTTACAAATGCTTTAAATCCCATTAACGGTGATCATAATTGTTTCTTCAGATCGTTGTTTTTCAAACTAAAAAACTGAATTTAACTCCAAAGTAACATTCTGCAGTTTTGAGCACATTTTGTTGATTAGGTTTCTCTTTTATTGCCTGACTTAAAACTGACTAATAATGCTACAAAGTCTCCTTCACTAAATAACAATTTCAAGACTTTCAGCTACACTAATTAGCTTTCTACAGATGAGGTATAAAATTAAAAAAGCAGACGTTTCCCTTTATATGCAATAGATCTAAACCTGTTTCAACGTGAAAATCTCTTTGAAATGACTAATACTACGTTCAGACTGCATGCAGCAGGGGCAGCAAAAACACATGCTGCTTCATTTTTTATGCCTGTACCAGTTTAGTTCTGATGCGCGGCTGAAGCATATTTGCTGCTGTAGCTGCTCGGTGGAAAAGTGAGACTGATGCGCGTTGGGCGGAGCTACCCTATCCTTTCTTTGCCTGTAAAAATGGCAGCTATATTTGCTGTGAAAACTTCCGCTGTGCAGTCAGTTCATCCAGATGAATATTCTGTCTCTGTCTGAGCCACTCAGACCCCCATACAATGGCGGTGAGCTGTCACCAGGAATCCCGTTCAATTGTGGCCCGGTGGCCTCTCTGTGGTTTTCCGCTACTATTTGTGGCGGCTAGCAGGTGTTTTTCATGTACACAATCCAACCTGCAACCACCAGAATGTTAAAATCTAGCATATTTTCCCGGCAGGTTTCGAAATTTTAAGTTAATTAAGAGTTAATAAACTGTTTCAGAGGGGTGATCATAGCGCTCTGCATCAGCAGTGCTGTGTCTGTCTCCCTGCCAGCTCCTCTGATTGGTTTATGTGGAGTGTTGAGCAGCAAATGTTACATTTTTTCAACTCTTGCAGCTGCTGCTTCTGAAGCGCCTCAGAAGCTCATGAGACGCTGCTTTGGCTGCTCAGACGTGCTGCAGGACCTTTTGCAGTGCCTTGATGCACGTCAACCATTGACATTGCATGGAAACTAGCTGCTTCTGCTGCTAGCGGTCTGAACCTAGCATAACTCTAAATTTGCTTGTTTTGTTTTTTTTGGATTTGCACTATTTCCATTTAAAATAATTTGTATTTTCTTTAAGTTTTCCCATTCAGTTTATCTGAGATGAGACTGGATTGTCTATTTGTTGAAGATGAGATAGTAGACGGTAAACGTTCTTCTTTGGTATTTTATCAGATTTTATCTCTGAAATGCTTGGACCAAAGGTCAACACTCTACGCAATAGTGAACTCAACTGCAGCTTCAATCTAAATCCTTCTGCTCTCACATTTCCAGGTGTGGAAATTTGGACCTCTATTCTTTTGATATTGTGTTTCCATTTATTGCTTGATATAAACTCCCACTGCCACAGTTGACCTTTAGAAATCTGTGACACAATATTTTTCAATGTATATAATCTTGTATACATATTTGTAAAGTTTTGTAGTCCAATAATTTGTTGGCATAAGATGTTTTGTGAATCCATTGTAATACTGTTCTATCTATAGATGTGTGAACTTATTAAAGTTCTGTTTTACCTACTTTTGAGTGTTTAATCATTTTAATATAAAGCAATCCTTTTGTCATTATGACCAGAGGTTAAGGTAAAACTGAGTGGTCCTTATTAACCATTTATATATAAATGTTTACGATTTAAAGTGTTTTATAAGTCCTACTGAGTGAAATCTTTTTTATTATTGTGAAAATCCATTAAAATTATTGTAGTTTGATTATTCTAACTTTCTACATTTTTCATCTATAGTACGCACTAAGGTAATGTTATGGTAAACAAAGTATTCCAAATATTTTAGATCCTAGTTGTTTTTTAATGTTTTTTGCAGATAAATGCTGGTTCCTTCCTACCAATATCTACAGCAGTGGCTCGTTTAATGTGAGACAATATTTTCATGGATGGATTTGTAGCTGGGATCAGTGGGTAGCACTGCTGCCTTGCAGCAAGAAGGTTCTGGGTGCGATTCCCGGGGTCTTTTTGCATGGAGTCTGCATGTTCTCCCTGAGCAGGCGTGGGTTCTCTCCGGGTACTCTGGCTTCCTCCCACATACCAAAAACATGACTGTTGGGTTAATTGGCTTAGGTGTGTTTGTGTGTGAATGGTTGTTTGTGTTGCCCTGCGATGGACCCCACCTCTTGCCTGTAGGGCCCTCACGTCCCCAGCAGGGATAAAGCATGATGGAAAATGGATGAATGTAGCTGCAGTAAGCTCTGTTCCTCTACTTGGTTTCGATGTGTATCAAAGCTGAAGACGAACTTAAACATGTGACAGTAAATGTCTTTTTGTTTAAAAAAAACAACAAAAGTTTTGTTTTTTAGTTGGGTCCACACAAAGTAGAACAGATCCCAGCCCTACTTTATTTTACTACCTGAGAAATATGCACTTTCGGAGCACTAGGGGTACAAATACCCCCGGATGGGAATCAATGTTCAACAGAACAGACATTAAGTATTTCCAAATACACTGCTAAAAAAAAAATAAATAAATAAAAGGAACACTTTAAAAACACATCAGATCTCAATGGTGGGGTGTGATGCTGTTTATTTATACTGATATGGACTGGATGCTGTGTTGGGAACAAAGGATACTACATCATTTGATTGAAATGAAAATTATCAACCTACAGAGGGCTGAATTCAAAACACCGAAAAAATTACAGTGAAAAAAATGATACGGCAGGTTAGTCCATTCTGCTGAAATTTCATTGCAGCAAAACTGGTATTCAGACCAGGGTCGCATTGGAAAAACTGCAGACTGAAGTGACCCAAATCCGATTTTTTTGGCCCATACCTGTATCTGATCTTTACATGGCTGTTTGAGCAGCACAGATCCGATTGTTTCCAATGCGACCCCAGTCCACTTGGCTATGTGGTTCTGAATCCGACATTTTCAAATAAGACCTGTGTCTGAACGTCATTAATACCCGACAAATGTCACTATTCTGGCTCTTGCTATGGCGGACGATGATGCGGAGAGCAGTATTTATGTTTAACCATCTTGAAAAGATTGTGTTTTTATGGTTAGGAAAGATCGCTAGATGCACTCCGGCACTCCCATCCATGTTTACTTCCGTAAACACAGAGCACGCTGACTTGTGACGTCATTGCGTCCTCTACTGCGCATGCGGGACACGTGCGTTTTATGTCTGCAGTTTATCATATAGAAGTCGCATATGACTGTGAAATGTGAACGGCAAGGGGAAAAAAACCCAGAATTGAGCATCAAGGCCTGCAGTGTGAACGTAGCCTTAGACAACTTTTATTGTCATCTTGTATAAACAGACTGTAAACAAAATGAAATGTCGTTTAGTACAGCTTTCAGACAGTAAATAAGCAGCATAGCACTGAAATGAATATTTCCATTCCATAAAGTGCATCAGTGGTCAAATGTAAACAGCGTGAAAGAAAAAAATAAGTTGCAAAACGCATTGATATGGAGGTTTAAGAGTGTTCCAAGTCAAATATATGTGGTGCAAATATGCAGTTCCCTTTTTTGTTGTCATCAGTGTGATGCAGAGTCTTACTTGATTTAGAGTGTTTTAATTGGATGTCTGACTTCACTAAATTTATAAATATGGGAGCTTCGAAAATCTAGAAGAAAACACGATTACCTAATTAAGCAAGTATATTCAGTTAATAACTTGATCCAGGTACTTTTTTATTGGTCTCTACTTAACAGTCCTACCAAAGCCGTAATTAAGATCTGTTCTAATTGTATCTTTCTAACTCTCCGTAAAGCGCCTTAAGATGACATGCGTTGTTAATTGGCGCTTTAAAGCTAAATCAACTGAATCGAATTGAAACTCTGCTGTCTTTGTTTTCCATCGGTTGTAGCAGTTTCCCCCTGCGCGTGGGGTTCAACACGTCCACTGTTTACTTCCTCCTGGCTGCGTGGGAGCGCGAGGGCTACATGCCCTCCGCGTTGTTCTCAATGGCGCCGGTGCGAGCACGTAGAAAACAGCTTTGATTGTCTTTTAACCCTGCAGGCTGCTATCTCCAGTTTGACACATGTTCAGTTCCAGTGTTTACACACTGAGAAACAGCAACCAACCCCTGCGCGCGCTACTTCTGGTTTATAGAAGGACTGGATTATTTGATCCAAAAACGGACTTTTCTAAGAAATCCCGTGGTGACGTAACAGGGTCTCATTAAAGGCAGTGCCCAGTCTGATCTTCTTTCAACTCATAGGGAACATCACATTCAGCACGTCTCACATTCAACCCCCATTGGAAAGCTGCGAGAATAACAGCGGAAGTGTGGAGATTGCTTTTCAAAATAAAGGATAGTTGAAATTTTGTGTAATGAATAGGTTAAAAAAAAAAGAAAACAGTGGCATTGGTTGCTAAAATGTGTGATATCCAAAAATATATATATGTATTTGTTTGCCATTTCAGTTCTTCAAATTGTTTGAAAAGTAAACTAACATATCAGTCAGACCTCTGCCTTTTCTAACAGTAACAAATCCCAAAAGCTATGATTGGATAAATTTAATGAATTCAATTCAGTATATTTCTAAAGCGCTGATTCACAACACATGTCAACTCAAGGCACTTTACAGTTCACCAGATCATCCAGTCAGATTGTTTCAAAGTTTTCTATCTACGGAAAAGCAGTTGATTGCATCAACTCATTGACTCTTCAGCACGCTGCCAGAGATGCTTCACACTAAGCATGCTTGTAGCGACAGTGGAGAGGAAAAACTCCCTTTTAGCAGGAAGAAACCTCCAGCAGAACCAGGCTCAGTGTGAGCGGCCATCTGCTGAGGCCGACTGGGGTTCAAGGAGACAGAAGCAGAGATACAAAAGGCAAAGGCAACTGCTCGTCTTCCTGGCTGTGTGTTTATGCAGCTTTTTTCATTATTACATTTTAATTTGATCAAAAGTAGAAACCCAAACATTTTATTTTCATAATTTTCTGAATATTCATGTATTTAATTAATTACATTTCTGCTTCTTTGTATTTGGCCAATGCAGTTGGTAATGGAATGTTGCTATTATTCTACTAAGAAAATAAGAAAGAATAATTGATACTCTTTATGGATGTAAATGGAGACCTATATACAAGGGAAATATTAGAAGAGCAAGAAAACAAAAAACAAAACAAGAGGAATGTGTACAACATGCACATTTATAAAATACAAAGAAACACTTTACAGCTATTAGTTAAGTATCAGCAGAAAAAAGTATATGAATAATAGAATCATCTGGTGAAGATTCTCAGTCATCCAGATCATAGTCATAAGGGGGGTCGTTAGGGCAAGGTCTGCTCGCCTATAGGACCTCACCTATTCAGCCAATTCCCCCAAATGACCCATTTTCAGAGGCATAGACCAGTATAATTTATTGCAGGCTAACAAAAGAAGCCAAATGACCCCCAACCCAAAGGGGTGGAGCCGATCATCTGTTTCAATTTGCATGTTTTATAAACAAAAACAAGGCTTTGTTGGGTTGCTGTATAAAACCTGTAACTCAACGCTATTCCTGACATTTTGAATTGATAAAGCTTCCTGGATGGGAAAAGAAACTTGGGAAAAAAAGGTTGCTTTTTGTTTTGTTTTGTTTTTTTACTTTTATTTAAGTAGAATCATCACAAGTGATGATCAAACATTTTTTTTGTAACAACAATGTTATGTTACACTATAAAATAATTACTAAATAAGTTGTTTTTGTATGATTAAAATCAATATAATGTCGTATATTACTGATTTAAATTTTTGATTCAAAATTCTAACATGATGCTGAAAGAAAACTCTTATTGTGAAGTAAGACCGGAAGCGACGTGCTGGCAAAGTTTGCCCCTCCTTCAATAAAGTCGTTGTGGTTCCTCACGGGTAGAAATCTATCCTGACAGGAGACCCAGAGAAAATCCGCCTGTCAGTCTGATTCAGTCTATGACAGCAGTCTGCACACCGACTCTTCTCTCACTGTCTGTAGACTTGATGTCCTTCTTAAAGTTTGCTGAAGCTTAGTGAAGTCCACCATTGGTTCTTTAGCTAAAATGCCGTTTATTGAACACATATCTTACTCGGACTTGGAGCGGCTCGCTCTGCAGCGGCTCGTCCCGGCCCTGCTGTCCCACGGCTTCTGCTACGTGGACGGGCTCCTCGGGGAGCTGGCCGGGAGCGCCGTGTTGGACCAGGTGGTGGAGATGCACAACTCCGGACAGCTGCAAGACGGCCGCCTGGCCGGCTCCATCCCGGGCGTCAGCCGGAGGAGCATCAGGGGGGATAAGATCGCCTGGGTGAGCGGCGCAGAGCGCGGCTGCGAGGCGATCAGCTTCCTGCTCAATCTGATCGACCGGCTCATCTCCGTGTGCGCCTCCCGCCTGGGAGACAAGGCAATCCAGGAGAGGTCCAAGGTAAGAGGAGGACAGCCAGCTGCAGTGTTTGGGAAAATGAATGCAAACAATAAAGCAGAAATGGATGCAAAGAATGGATTCTTCCTCAATGATCTGAAAGGAGCAACAATAACAAAGATCAAATGATTGACATAAACTTTCTCGCAATCATCTAACTACACTTTTGCTTTAAGGAATACTTTTGGAAACTTGCGGGATAGTTTTTGTTTCATGACGAAACTTTAATCTCCCCAACATAGTTATTGGATTTGAACTTCACTAAAATTTAAGAAGCCTCAAAACCAATATCCGCACGCTCTTTGTGGTATTTAAATTTCTTTTTGAATAAATAAGAAATCAGTAGAAATCCTTTCGTTTTGACGTCTGTCTGTCTGTCTGTTTGTTTCAACGATCAGCTGTGCGCTCTGAAGCCGTGCAGCTGTAGTGAAGCCAATAATGAGGACATACAGGGGGAGTGTAGGCCTAGTGTTTAGGGCATAGAGCTTAAAATCCTGACGTTGTGAGTTTGAAACCCACTCCCACAGACTGCCACTCTGAGTAAGACCCTTAACCAACCCCACACTGCTCCCAGTGCGCAGCACAATGGCAGCCCACTGCTCCCCGCCAGGATGGCTTAAATGCAGAGGTAAATGTCTCCAATGTGAGATCAATAAAGTTCAATTATTTATATTCTGCCATTGTTTTTAATCTCTCGATTAAAACATTTTTATGTTCTGTGCCAAATAAACAAATTTAATTAGTAGCTAAAAAGGTTTAATTGATTTATAAAATAAGGAATAATGTTTGAAATCACCATTGTCGTCCTAAAGCTTTAAAATCTGTGTTTGAGGCTTTTTCTGTTCTGTGGATTAAATTTTTTTTTATAACGTTTGGCTCAGTCTACATTTAGTATTAGAACTTTTTTTTTTATTTGCATGTTTACTTCTAGTTGTTTTTTTTTATGCAAGCAGAGCATCTTGCAAATCCATCAAGTAATCATAAAGGCTGAGACACACTTAATATTATAAATGTTCTGATGGCATTTCAGTTAAATGTTTTTTATCAAAAACATAATCAATGTGCACAAATAAGGAATAGTTGTATTAACTATACATGTAAGCCGAGTTTTATGGGGCCCCCAGGAAAAAAGAACTTTTGCGAGATCCCGCAATAGTTTTGCAGGATCTAACAAAAGTATTGCGAGATCTCGCAAAAGTATTGCGGGATCTTGCAAAAAAATTTTTTTCCCCCTCCATGTCCCTTTAGGGGCTCCGTAGAGACCTGATGCGATGTGGGTGTTTTAGTCAATATATTTGTGCTTTATTTTGCTGTTTACTGCTTAAAAATTAGGGAGAACATAAATAAAATATAAAATATATATTTCACTGCTGAATTTTCTTTTTATATTTGAAAAATATAGTGGGACAAATCTTTTCTTCTACTTTTGCGGCCACCCTGTTTCAAGGGAGAAAACTGATACGTCTCAGGCTCATCAAAGCACTGTAGGTGTGTTAAGGTCAGAAAGGATCACTTTATCATCCAAAGATCACACTGCCAGGGATGCTTCACCTATATTACACCAGAGATGGCAAAAGAACTCACTTTCCGTACTTGAGTAAAAGTACAGATACTTGTGTTAAAAAATACTCTGGTAAAAGTGGAAGTACTGATTAAACTTCTTTACTCAAGTAAAAGTAACAAAGTACAGGCTTATAAATTTACTTAAAGTATAAAAGTAAAAGTAGAAACCACTTTTTTCATGCCGTTGCCTACATTTTAAATGGATGTCTGCCAATAGGACTAGATCTCCGTTGTGTTCATTTTCAATCATCTCGTCGTCCATGCCACTATGCTAACGCCACCGCCACCAAGCTGCAATGATTTGCCGCGAATGAATACCACCGAATCTGTCGATTCATCTTGTAGTGGTGCGTCAAATGCAACGTAGATTCCCATCCAATTAGACTGAATTTGGTATTGATGACGTGAAAAATAATAACGGTAACTCCATTGAGATGATTCAAAACTAAAGTAACGAGCCAATTTTTTAAAATGTAAGGAGTAGAAAGTACAGATATTTGTGTAAAAATGTAAGGAGTAGAAGTAAAAAGTTGCCATAAAAATAAGTAGTAAAGTAAAGTAAAAATATCAGAAAAATCTACTTGAGTACAGTAACGAAGTATTTGTACTTAGTTACTTCCCATCTCTGTATTACACACTGCTCCCCTACTGGCCATTAGAGGTGGTCTTTAGCAGGTGCTGATTGGCAGGGGGTTATATCACTCTTCGCGTTCATGTTTTTATTTATCCTTCTGACTAATGGATAACTGTTATGAGGTCGATCCATCGTCCTCAGCCAGGTGTCAGAAGGAGCAGCATCAGTTTTGTTTCCATAGGAAAACAAAAACACGTGTGATTAATGTTTTCAGATTTATTTATTTTTGCCCCGCTCCTGGTCAGAACTGATTCCAGCTCGCTGGCTCACACAGATGTACAATAAACACACACATACACACTTCCAGTAAGCCCATCCAGCTCCACGCACTGCTAACTGGGGTTGGGCAGGCATGCTGGGTTTTGTGCGTATAGTTAGCCCTTATCAGAAATCTGCTTTTGGGAAGGGTGGGTGGTGTATAGATCATCAAAGTTTCCTTGGAAACCAGCCAGAAAAATTGTCTTCATAATCCTCTCTGGTTGTTCATGTATAAAATTGCTCAATTTTTTTAACGATTCATATTTGAATGACATGTGAAACAATCTAAATCCTTTTCTATTTTTAATAAATCTGAACACAATCATAGCCAACTTTGGATGTAGGTTTTCCAGAGCTGCTGACAAACAGGTTTTAGTTTAAATTTGACAATGGTGGTTTCCTGGAAATGGTTGCCCCCCGACACCAGCAGAACATAGAACCTATCTGTCTAGAACATTTTAGGAAGTGCACATCATTTAGAGGAGGGACATGATGGATTCTTCAGTTCCATTAGTGTTGATCCATGCTACAAACTGAAATAGTAGCAGGAGTTCCTCATAAAGGCCATGCTCTAGCACCTACACTGCAAAAACGATCTAGAAATAAGCAAAAAGATCTTAAGTGAAGTGTATTTACCCTTTATTTGAGTACCGGTAGGTAAATAAGATGATTTGCCAGTGAAATTAGTAGTTTTACACTTAAAATAGAAATAAGATAATGCAATGTTTTAAGAAGCAATGACTTATTTAGATTTAAATTTTTTGCATTTTTTAAGTAGTCTAATCAGCCAAAAATCTGTTTATAAAGCTAAGAAATAGGTAGGTGAGTTTAAGGGTTGCAGTGAAACATGTGGGCAGATCTCCAGTGAATGGAAACTCCACGCACCACACGTAGCTCTGTTATTAAACCATCAGCAGGCTGGACATCAGCCAAACTGTTCCTCAGAACTCCTCACATTCCCACTTCACCCAACCCCTCCCACCTTTCTTTGCAGAGAAGATAAGATAAGGTTTAGTTTAAACTCTGAGTATCTTTCTCCAGCTGTTCTCCACTTCCTCCTCTCCCAGCTCCTTTGGCCTCTATATTGTTTTTATTCAGTCTGTGTGGTGATGAGGACCATTAAAAAAAAAAAAAAAACGAAACGCTAGTGTGGCGCACGTATGCGTACGTGCCTTGGCTCTGGTGAGTAAACACCCTCGCGTGATCACCCTGCTTCCGCTCGGCACGAGCAGTCCATCACGTGGGATCTGTGCAGTGGCTCTTTATCAGTCCTGGGGTTTGTTGTCAGCAGCAATAGCGTGTAGAAAGGCTTACGTAAAGACAAACAGGGCTGAGTTTTCTAGTAAGATGTAAAGATAACAAACACGACATTGTTGTAAACACTGTCGTTGTTCGTTGCTTTGGGCCTTCAGGCAGACCGAGCATCGTCGGTTACCTATTTCTAAACCCAGTAAAATCCAGCGAAAGGAACCCTACAAGCTAACATTTCAGTTGCAAAGAACAGGTGAGGAATATTTCCTTTATTCTGGCTGAAAGTCCAAAGTTTGGGTTTTTTATTGACCTTGACCCAGCCTCATAGTCGATAATCTTCTGCTCTCAGCAAAACACACACTTCCTGCTCAGGTGGAAAGGTTGAAGCAAATAAACACGTCTTAACCTCTTCTCCTTATAAACAAGCTTAAACATGTAGAAAAATCAATATTTTCAGCTTTATTCCAACCAGGAGCCTCGGAAGACTAAATTCATCAATATAAAGATGTCAGTTTGTCGTAATAAAGTTGGTGACATCTGAATAATAACTTCTGCTATGCACCGCTGTTCAAATGCCAGATGTATTGCGTGAACCACAGTTTTGAGTTTGGCTTATTTATAGACGGATCACTGAGGAAGATTAATGCGTACGTGACCCTCACATAACCAAGCTTCCATAGCTGTCCTACAAAGTCTGAGACAATTTGTCCCAGAAATAATTCCCACTCACTCCTGAAGTCTTTGGTTTTGTTTTAGCTAGTTTAAGCAAGGCCTAATTTAATAGCGAAGCCAGAAACACAGACCCAAGCTAGCATACGTGAACTAGCGTGTGGACTATTTGTGTTCATGCAGGTGTGCTTGTGGCTCTATGACACACGTACGGCAGAAACGTTAGCAAACGGCTCCACGTGCAAACGGCTGCTGCACAGGAAGCTTCCACCATCTGATCCAACTGATATGCAATAGCTTTTGTTGTGGTGCTGATGGTGGGAGGTTCTCGCTGAAATACTCTTCGTCATTCATCTTCCACCATAAACATGTTTTTATGATCATTAAAATACCACAGCGTTGACTCTAAATCCCCATAGAAAACTCGTAATGACTTCTGACTTTCTGATAGTTCCCATTTCATATATGAGATGACATGTGTTGTGAATTGCCGCTATAGAAATAAACTGACTTGGATTTATATGAAGTTTGCCTGTGTGTTTGTCTTTAGGCAATGGTTGCATGCTACCCAGGAAATGGGGCAGGTTATGTGAAGCATGTGGACAACCCAAATCACGATGGACGCCATCTTACCTGCATCTACTACCTCAACAAGAACTGGAACCCAAAAGTACACCGCACACCTCTACTGTCGTCTTATAACTCTCAGCTCCTTTCAGTGATTTTAGTTTTATTGATAGGATCCCCATTAGCATACTGTTATGCTGCAGCTATTTTTCCTGGGGTCCTGAAAAAATATATACATTAAAAACAAAACCAAGAATACAACCAATATTTGAAAGAAAAAGAAAATACACAAACACATATACAAATACATGTACAATATATAAACATATTAGCGTACATATGTACCCTGATGCGAGTGTGATATATGACAAATATAAAACACATTCTACACTTACACCTGTAAACATACCTACACATATACATACATATTCGCGCACATATATAAATATAAACATTCAGTTATATTATTTTGATAAATGCTGTTTTACATATAATTTGAATTTATTGACATTATTCGCAAACAGGATATGTTTTGGCAGATTGTTCCATTCTTTCATACCTCTAAACACAACAGTATTTTTTATGGCATTTGTTCTCACTATGGGTAAAGTGAAATTACCTTTAGTTGCATGTCTAGTACTGTACTGATGATTTACTACACTGAAAGAAAGATGCTTGAACAAAACAGAAGGAAATTTGGAATTAGAAATATTTTTTATGAAAATTAACAATCTATCTTTGACCAACAACCAATTAAGATCTTTGAGCATTAATGTTATATTTCTCCTGTAGCTGCACCTGAGTGCTACATGATTGTGTATTAATGTGGCTGTTTGTGTTGATAGGAGCACGGTGGAGTTCTCAGGATCTTTCCAGAAAGTAAACCTTACGTGGTTGACATCAAGCCGCTTTTCGACAGGCTTCTGGTCTTTTGGTCTGACCGCAGAAACCCACACGAGGTGCAGCCCTCCTATGCCACCAGGTAACCCTCTAGAAGAACACTGGAAGTTTTCTTGCTTTTTATATTTAAGAAATGCTGTTTTTGCTCTGTGGTATTTGTAACCAAATGCAAAAGTTTAAGGCAGGCTTGTATTTGTTTCAGGTACGCTATTACGGTTTGGTATTTTGACTCTGAGGAGCGAGCCCAGGCCAAGAAGCGCTTCAGAGCCCTTACAGGTAAAAAAGAATACTTGTCAGCTACTCTTTTGTGTGTTGTAGGAACCATAGAAATAGAATATTCATCTGTAGATACTGAAGTACAAGTTTGAGGATGCATTTTGGTGAAGGTCAGACAGTCAGTAGAGGCAGGGTATTAAGCTCGAGTTAAAACCTATAAGAATTAAGAAATAGATTTTAATGCAAATAAATAGAACAAATTATAATGCATCTAAAAACAATGCACAAATGCACTGGGATATGTTTTATTTTAATCTGTACCCAATTAAACTAAGATATAAAAGGTGACAATGGGTAAATAATGACAGATTTATTGCAAGTGAATATATTTTTTTTAACCAACAGAGTTTGTTCCTGACATATTTATAGTGGATTATTAGACATTAAGAACAAACTTTGATTTGCTCTACTTTAGCTTATTGAAAATGTTCCTTTTTTGTTTCAGCCTCAACAGAGCAGAAGGGCTGCAGCTCTAGTTGATGGTGACAAAACACTGCCATCTAGTGTCTGTATGGAGAACCGCAGACACCACTGCGCAGCTTTTTAAAAAGCTGGAACAAGACAGTGGAAGAAAACGGAAGTTGAATTGTTTTCAGGGCCCAGAAGGCATGGGGGGGCCTTGTGGTCTCCTATTTTAACCAAACATGGATTTCTAACGTTGCTCCGACCTTGTCCAGGCTGCAGCAGAGCTGGACTGAAGTCAAATCACCAGAGGGCTTCTGGGCAACTTCAGTTTTTTCTTTGGAAAAGTTTATGCATCGCTCTGCCCGCTCCTACCTGGGGCCCCCATGATGCACCAGCCCTCCGCCTACGACACATATTTCATTGTATTATGTACAATGAGAGTTAAGTTGGCGGAAAGCCACTGGAGTTTACATGAATATGAGGATTGTGAGCCTATGTGACAAACGCCTCACAGCTCGTTTTTCCACCAGTCTTAAGAAGTTGGCACATGAAAATGCTGCCTGTTTACAAACTGGGAGAAAAAAGCCGTTATTTCCTAGTGTGTAATGTCTGAATATATTCTGAAAAGCAGAGGCAGAAATAGATATTATAAAAGCTGACAAGAGATTGATTTGGATACTGTTTTTATATAAAAATATTGGTTATAATTTCCATACTTTGTCATTTGTTGTCAGAAATGCACTGCCTCTGCTTCTAATGCAGGAAACAAAATCTTTTTACAAACCTTTATTTTTACAGGTAGTCTCAACTGAGACATGATTTATAAGTTAGGAAAAAGAGAGCTGTATGATTCGATTGATGTATAGATCAGTATAAATAAAGAAAAGTTCTGAAAGATATTTGTGTTTTCTGTTTGGTTTTACACCTCACCTCTTAGAACAGAACCTTATAAAAACGACAAGTCAATGAATAAAAGTACTTCTTTATTTCTTAATTAAAAGCCCTAGAAGAATCATAAAAGTTGCTCAGTGGTCTGTTTGAGAGCAAAAACAAGAAGATGTCTGTGGTAGTGCAGCATATAAAATAGTAATTCCTTTTTTGCATGTACTTGATCTGAGCAAGAAGGACAAACTATGATTCCACTTATCAAGTAACGTTGACTGAATCTATGTGAACTGGCTATCAAACGGTTTATGGATGAGAGGATGAATACTACAGCTCTCTAGTTTCCTCCATAAGAAGTCTCTACAAAATGTTATTGAGTTCCAGTCACCTCAGCATAATAAAGTTAAAGGAAAAGTCCGGTCAGCAAGGAATTATCACTGGATCATTATTTATACATAAAACTAATATGTCTGCGGTGATTTAATTAATTTAGTGTTAATCAGTAAAAAAAATAAAATAAAAATAAATTCGTCTGGGAGCGGCCATTTTTGCCCAAATATAGTATCACCTCCCTCCTGCCATCTTCCAGCAGTGACGTCACGGTGCGGTAAGCCTAGCGCCATTCTCCCCGCTTTACAAGCTAAATCAATGGGAACTACTAGACACATCTGCAATCAACAACAATTATTGAAGATTTCCAGAGGACTTCACCATTGAAATTCACCAGAGCTATAGTGAACCTGCCCAAAGATGAAAAAAAAAGAGTGAAAAAACCATTACATATTTCACATTTCTGATTACTGATCCTCCATGGATGGGTTTGTTGTTGGATTGAGGGAGGATTTGCCATCGAACTTCTGGCCAGAAAAACATGTAATTAATCCGTTACCTCTGCTTTGCATAGTGCACTGTTCGTTCCCATCTTGGATAATAGTACGTTGTGACAAACACCAGATTCAGCATTGGGACTTGATCAACAGCCAATACCGCTCTGTGATGTCCCAAACCGGTACGTGGCAGTAGTGTTCTTTGACAAACATGGATGTCTTGGGTAAAGCAAATTCAAATAAAATTACTCTTAATTAAAACACTTATAATTTATTGAACAGTATGTAATAATTTCTTATAATTTCCTTTCAGAAGTTTGTATTCTGAATGTGACTGGACTTTTCCTTTAAAACAACCTTTTAGTAGATTGGGTTTATATTAAGGGCTGCACGGCGGTGAAGCATGCATGGAGTTTGCCTGTTCTCCCTGTGCATGTGTGGGCTCTCTCTGGGTACTCCGGCTTCCTCTCACAGTTAACTGTAAGGTTACTTGGCTTCTCCAGATTGTCCTTAGGTGTGACTGTGTGTGTGCATGGTCCTGTGTTACCCTGCAACAGAATGGGGGCCTGTCTAGGGTGTACCCAACCTTTTGACCATACACTGCTGCAGATAGGCACCGGCCCCACTGGTACCCTGACGAGGACTAAGCAGGAGAAGATGGATGGATGTTTGGGCTCGTAGTGATGCTGAAACAAAAATTTCATCGTTAACCTTCTAGCAGATGCCTCAAGAGTTTGGATCAAAATGTAATTCAGTGACATGATGAATTAAACCTGCTGAGTTTCCTGAAGAATCACAAAATTAAGGAAATGAAGCAAGATTGGACTCGAGAGATACAACAATGATACATTTAGCCTTAATATTGTGGATACAAATTGGACTTTATGGTCAACTACATTAGCATTCTTGCCAAATATTTTCTACACAAATACAATGAAGTGTCTTGAAATGTTTCCCTATATATTTTTTCTTTAAATTTGATTAAAGTTAAAGAATGGAGATCTTATTCTTTTCATTTTACTTAGCAGTTTAGTTGAATTTTTTATTTCAGCTAGTTTTTTAGGTGAAGCATTTTAATTTAATTTGAATTAATATTATAATCAATTCATATTTTTATCAAGAAGTTAATGTTTATTTGGTATGTTTGTATAGTGCTTGTTTTTTTAGAAAACCAGTGCACAAATTCAGTGTTTCTCAATTATTTTATGACAGCATACTTCATCAGGCAGGTATTCATATAAATCACATTCAAGATATAATTTTTCTTTTCAAACATTGATGATCACTTTGATTTGCATACAGAACTGAATTTTAGCATAGCCATGTATAAAACAGCAACATTTTTGGTGATGTCAAATCGAATCCTAGAAAGAGGATAAAAGCAAATGGCTATTTTGATATGCTTGTTTACAATACCAAAATCATAAAGCCAATTTAAACAGTTTATTTTTTTTATCTGACTAAGAAGTGCAAAGAGGTGGGAATCAGAGCATTGTACTGTGTGTACTGAAAACACACACAGTACAAGAGCTGAAATTGCTAGGTTGGCTGTAGTTCCATTTCAAGCCTCGGGGTGTCACTGTAACTCTACTCTTCATCAGATCAGGGGTACGATGTGGTAAATACAATTATTCTTTAACTGCTTTGTTATTATTTTCTGGACCTATAAGAAATATCTCTCATATAAAACACACAGGCTAAGATCAAAATGCTAATTTTTTTTTTTTTTTTTATTAGGTTGATAAGAAACACAAAGATTAATTGTTAACTCAAGCTGAATAACCTTTCAAAATAACAGCTAAATAAAAAAAAAAATAGAAACAATTCAAAATCAATTAAAATAAAACTGCTTTGTATTTTAAAGTTTTTAAAATATACTAATTTATTCAGTAATAAACTTATACTGCAAGCCATCATCTGACTGAGTTACAGTAATCACTTTGGCACTTTTTTTCTGTTCAAAGCACTACATAAAACTCAACAGCTTGGAAGATTTCCTAAACATTTACATTGATTTCCTTAAGGAAACATCACATTGACAGAATCACAATGAATCTAATACCTATCAAATAATCTAAAAAAAAAAAACATTTTTGTGTGGAGGATCCATCCGTCGCATACAAATAATATAATAATCAGTACTAAATAAGCAGTAAGCAAGAAAAAGATTGTAAACTTGGGTGGGGCCTAAGAGCTTGCCTAAAAGAGCTTGGTGAAAGCTGACCTAAACCTGTATAAAAATAAAGGTAAAATCTATTTCTCCAAGACACACTCTTCTGATATAGTTATATATTGTAATATTGGCCCCACATTTTCCAGTTACTTTGACAGATTCTCTCTTGGTATAATATATTTACCTTTTTTCTTCCTCTGCCAATAATAACACTGAACAGATCTGAAAATATTCCATCCTTAAAAAGTGTACCTGCCAGTGTTTTTTTTAAACAAAAAAAGTGCACTATATGGTTGTTTTAGCGACTTTTTTCTTTTGCCTTTCGAGGACGTTTACAGTTGTTTGACTGATTTTGAAGATATTTTTGAGAATATCCAGCTTTGTTGTTTACTTTTAGAAGATGTTCCTGGCTTGCTACTGTTCGATGCTCTTGGTAAGCAGCTGATTCTTCTTCACTCCTTTGATTAGTTCGAGATCTCTTAACATCGTTATGATACACATTTATTCTGTAACCCAGAGTTCAACACACTAGTGAGCTTTACTTCTACAATACTGATCAGTATCTTCTTACACTATGTAATCCATTCATTTGTGTAGTCCACAATTTCCTGGTGCCAGTTTAAAAAAAATTGATCTGCAATCTTCATAGCACTACACTTGTTTGCTTTTTTTTACTTGTTAAAATGTTTATATTTCCTGAACAATATATTTTTTTGTTTTATATGATTCTCATAGAATAACTTGAATAGCGATAGAGTTTAGAAATGTGCAATTTAAACCATCTGTAACTGTGTTTTTTTTTTTTTTTTTTTACTGCAAAAAGGTGAATCTGCAAGATGGACAGGCAAGCAACTGAAAAGGATGGGCAATGCAAAGCAATTTGTGCATTTGATACAGAAGATTTTTGTAATTCATAAAATCTGTTTTTTCAGAAATCTTCTGTGAAATCCCTTTCAGTTTATAAAACAAAAACAAAGTGTCACTTAAACAGAGGGCAGAACCCTGACAAAAAGGAGTTTGATTTGAAAACATTTTCAACACATATTGTCCTCCCTTCTCTTTGGCGAACTGTTTCTCTCACATTGGCTCATATTGGCAGTTTTTTTGTGTGTGCAGATTTTAGTTTCCCTGCTCAGCACATCTCAGTCAGATGATTGTAGTTTAGCAAAGGCCTCAGCCAGCAATGGCACCATTTTCCCCACTTTTAGGTAAAAATATTTTGCTTAAAAAATTTGATACTAGGGACTAAAATATCGATATTATATCAGGCAGCCAAAAATCCCAACATATTGCCAAAATCAATTTTTCCCACACCTCTACTTGGTGGATCTGTCTCCATGGCTTTTGATTGTAGCTCCTGGGTGGAGTAATCTGCTGGGATCAAGTATACCTATATAGGAGTTGATGTAGGTAAATTGCACTGTTTTAGTTGTCAAAGTTTTTTTTTCAATTATGCTTAATTTTGATAATATGCATCTTAATACCTGTATTTATAATTGATTTGGTAAACATAAAGTCATACAACCATGCATACACTTTCAACTAAGGGAAATTTATAGTCACCAGTTAACCTAATTGCCATGTTTCTAGACCCAGAGAAACTAGAGAGAGGGTAGAACATTGCAAGGCAACAGTGCTAAAAACTTTCCATTAAAAAGGGTAAATGTTTTTAAATAAAGCCTGTGTATAATATATATTTTTAAAACATTAATAGGTTATTGACAAATTAATTGATATACAGAAATCAGTTTAAACTAAGCATCTATGGTGCATAAAGTTTTAATTTTAATGCACTTTATAAAATATATATATATATATATATATATATATATATATATATATATATATATATATATATATATATATATATATATATATATGTTTGTGTGTGTTACTGCTCAATATATCTAGCCTGTCATAAACAGTTAGAAAAATGCAACTTATATTCCTCTTTCAAACCAGCATTGAATCAGACTGCAACAGAGATTGTTCAACTGATGATATCATCAGCTTC